GGCTCATAATCTGAGGTATCAAATTTGTCTAAATTTTGAATTAAAAGATTGTAAACGTTATCGCAGGTTACTTGATATATGAGACTGTCGGTGTCTGTATAAAGCAATTTGCAGTCATCACCTAATTTTGATAACATGAAATTGTAGTGGAAGTCGTACACACAAGTTTTTGAAATGTCCAAAATACACATGCCAACATATAGGGGCTTGTTGAAGCAAATTTCCGATTTGTTTAATTCAATTGCTACTAGGTCTTCACCAAAAATTTTGCTACTATGGAAATTTGGGCTAGCTATAAAATGTTTTGCACCCCACTGCCCATCCCAATGATTCTTTAACTTGATAATGCGATGCTTTCTTATGTTCTCCATCGTCTTACCGAAAATAGCGTTTATTAATAGTTTATATAATTTTTTTTCAAATTCGTTGGTAGACTGAGCGCGGAGTTTGGTGTTTAACTCGATGTAGGCCTGCAACCAATCGGCTTGCTTAAATTTCAATACGCGATGAATTTTGATGAGCTTAACCCCAAGAGATAAAGCCTGCTTTAAATTACGATAATGAATTATATAGCGTGATTTTGGATACAAGGTTGTCATAAGTTTCGGTAATTTTGAATTTGGAGGTGTGAGGTGTTCGAGGCATAGAGGTAAATCTTTATGCTCATTGTGTAGATGTTCAGGATATTCCAAGTCAACTTCGAGGATGTATCCTTCAGACGACGTGTCAGATACCATCGTTACGTCGATGTTGGGATCTACCCACTCGAACCCACCATATGGAAGGTATTGGCCCAACCGTAAAGGTTATTACATCAAAATACATTAAATACTTAGATGGTTTTGAGTAGTCATAGAAGACATAAACTTGTTGTTTGCTTCAGCATAGCGGTTACAGCATTGACTAACACCGCCTCTGATACCGCGAACCATAAACAGCAACATATCCACGTCTTTTAAGTAATCCAGCTCGATTTTAGTATATTTTAACATACAGTCCCATGTATATCCGGGGAGTGTATAGTAATTAGCTGGGTCTAGTTGATAAATATTCAAACATTTTTGTCNTTTCCTCTATTCCAGTTTCAATAATATAATAGAAATTTAACTTTAGTAAAATTACACAAGTATACTCTTGTTCACAGTTAAAACAAATAAGACACATATAAAATAAAAAGTTTATTTCATTTATAATGTACTAAATATATTACAGTTAATTACAACATACTATCTATTGAATAGTGCCCCCAAGGTAATGTGTCATGGGTATCGTTTAATAAAAAAACTTTTATCATCAGCTGCACTTAGAGCTAGCTTTGTTTGCTCTACTGAGAAAACGTTATGTAAAGTTAACTGAATGGTTCTCTGTTTGCGATAGAGTTCAGTTTTATTATCTAAACAGCTTTTGTAGTCGTCAAATGTGATGGAATTTTTAACTATATTCTTCTTAACTCCTTTAGATTTTTAATAGTAGATTTGCCGTCTATTAAGATGCTGTACATTTTAGAACGGAGCCCAACAAAATGCGTCATTATTGCCCCACAACATTCATCCTTCCTGAAGCCTGGTACTTTTTTATTAACTTAAGGTATATTATATTTATTATTAGGCTCATAATCTGAAGTATCAAATTTGTCTAAATTTTGAATTAAAAAATCGTAAACATTATCGCAGGTTACTTGATATATGAGACTGTCGGTGTCTGTATAAAGCAATTTGCAGTCATCACCTAATTTTGATAACATGAAATTGTAGTGGAAGTCGTACACACAAGTTTTTGAAATGTCCAAAATACACATGCCAACATATAGGGGCTTGTTGAAGCAAATTTCCGATTTGTTTAATTCAATTGCTACTAGGTCTTCACCAAAAATTTTGCTACTATGGAAATTTGGGCTAGCTATAAAATGTTTTGCACCCCAGTGCCCATCCCAATGATTCTTTAACTTGATAATGCGATGCTTTCTTATGTTCTCCATCGTCTTACCGAAAATAGCGTTTATTAATAGTTTATATAAATTTTTTTCAAACTCGTTGGTAGACTGGGCGCGGAGTTTGGTGTTTAACTCGATGTAGGCCTTCAACCAGTCGGCTTGCTTAAATTTCAATACGCGATGAATTTTGATGAGCTTAACCCCAAGAGATAAAGCCTGCTTTAAATTACGATAATGAATTATATAGCGTGATTTTGGATACAAGGTTGTCATAAGTTTCGGTAATTTTGAATTTGGAGGTGTGAGGTGTTCGGGGCATAGAGGTAAATCTTTATGCTCATCGTGTAGATGTTCAGGATATTCCAAGTCAACTTCGAGGATGTATCCTTCAGACGACGTGTCAGATACCATCGTTACGTCGATGTTGGGATCTACCCACTCGAACCCACCATATGGAAGGTATTGGCTCATAGCCCAACCGTAAAGGTTATTTACATCAAAATACATTAAATACTTTGATGGTTTTGAGTAGTCATAAGAAGACATAAACTTGTTGTTTGCTTCAGCATAGCGGTTACAGCATTGACTAACGCCGCCTCTGATGCCGCGATCCATAAACAGCAACATATCCACGTCTTTTAAGTAATCCAGCTCGATTTTAGTATATTTTAACATACAGTCCCACGTATATCCGGGGAGTGTATAGTAATTAGCTGGGTCCAGTTGATAAATATTCAAACATTTTTGTCTAAAATTTTCAAAGACATCTGCCAAAAGTAAAATGTCCGTTTTCATATATAAATCAGAATATTGTCCTAAAGTTGATATATTAAATTTAGCCCAGACCCTCTTAGCATGTTCATAATCGTCATTGGATATGTTACTATCGTTTAATTTATTATAAAACTTATCAATGCCGGGCAGTTCTGTTTCGTTTAATTTCTCCTCACAGTCTATATAGTCATAAGGAAATACTCCTTTTCTCGTAAGTAAAGTAAATGTTTCCGCATCTAACATGTTAAATTCTTTACATAAATTTTGAAGCTCGTTTGGCTTTAAATATGATGATAGAGTATCTAGTGATGATGCCATAAACCTAAAGGAGTCGATAAAACGAAACTTTACCGGGGAATCTGATGTTGACTTTGTAAAAGAAATTATTTTTCCTTATTGATGGGAAGCAAAGTAATATTGCCGGTTTTTGCCAAGTCTCTAATCAAAAAATGTGAATCATATCCGGTCAGATTATGAAATACTATAGGTATGGTGAAAGAATTTTTATAATTTAGATTGCAGCTTTCGTGTGCAGGTCCCCGGTAGGTTCCAGTAAAATGACAGTGGTCTCTTACTTTTTTGGTGCCTGCTTCAAATGGCTTCTCACAAATGTGACAGTGTGTTGCAGAAAGAAACTGTAATGACTGTTCCTGTGAAATATTCATGGGTACTACAGTTTTCAATTTATCATCAATAACTTTTGCCATGTTTTCAAGTTGCTCAGTAAACCATTCGATGCAGCCGAGGCCCCTATTGCTAGCGTAAAACGATAGAGAATCATCATACGAACACTTGAAATAAAAACCTGCACTAATCGCGGTATGCTTTTGATATTTTTTGGTTGACGTATGCCGTTGCTGATCGGTGAAAGGTTCTAACATGGACTCAAAATCACAATATAAAATGAAAGGTACCTTTTCCTTGTATCTGTGGTTTTTGAAAGATAGAGATTTCTCCTCCGGAAAGGTAATTTTACATTTATTAATTTTAGAGCAATCTTCAGTGTGACTATCTAATGCAGTTTCAGTACTAAAATAATTTAAGCAAATATCACAAATGTATTTAGCATTCTTGTGTTTATTTAATTGAGAAGAAACTAACCTAGATAAATTTTTTATCCAACAAAAATGATACTTAATTTCTACGTCTTCGCTGCTACTTTCCTCCTTACGTTCATCGAAATAAACATTTTGAACTATTAACAGGTTAACGTGACGTATGCGCTTATTTGTGGTTAACCGGACAGGTTCTACATTAAATTTTTTCTTCCCGGATAACTTTAATTGATAAATATTAACAGAGATGTCGTTGTTTTTTTCAAATTTAGTAATCTGCGAAAGTTGCATCGGAAAATCAATTCCATCTAAATTCAGAACAGTTGAAGGATGAGGGTATGATGCTGTTCTATCTACATGGTTATCGACTGCATAAAGTGCCGAAACAATAGACCAAGCGAAGCAGGCGTCATCACCATAATTTTTAACATTAACACAAGCATGTTTCTTTGCAATTACCTCGGGGAGTTTGATAAAAGACGAGACCCCGTGACCCATTTCAAATTTATTAATATTTATTTCTAAACTAATAATTTTGTTTAAAGCCCAACCACTATCTTTTTCCTGGAACTCTTCCAGTTTGTTGTTAATCTTATCAGCTACGTGCTCCTGAAACCAGACCTTAAGATCTGTTCCTGCATCAATGCCTGCATTTTTTGTATTGAAATATTTAAATTCTGAAATTGTTTCGTTTGAATTAGGTTTGGCTTTAATAAATTCTCCACAGAAAGTAGCGTTAACCTTTATGGTTGGATGAGTTTTCAGAATTCTCAATATTCTGTTCTTAAACAAGAAAAACGCGTCATTTAAGAATGCTTTAATGTCTTTATGTTTTAAATTTATAATCAAACCAGATCGTATGCGGCTCGAAAATGCAGAATTTACATCCACCCAGCGTACTCGACGACTACGCTTATCTCTATGCCCCGCCCCTTCATGTTCCGAATTTGATTTTAATAAAATTTTGATTCGTTTTAAGTGACCGATATTAGTTTCCAGTTTACGCTTAGTTCCAACTGAATCAAAACTGTTGCTGGCTTTAAGAAGTAGCCGTATTTGAAGGTTTATTAACTTTATAAAATTTTGAATACTGTGTGTACCACTGGCCTGTACATTTTCTAAAACCTGCGTAGGTTTTACAACAAAATTATCTGCTTCCTGAACAAGAGGCTCCATAATTTTCAATTAAATATAAAATAAAAAGATTGCAACTAATGTAAAACACTTTCTATTAGAAACATGACACACCAAATATAAAATATTGGGGGGCACTTACAGTTTTTTAATTCTTCTATGCGGGTCCTGGTTGTTGATGTTCTTGTGGCAGCTCCACAACCTCAAAGTTTATAGCCGGGTGTCGCTGATTGCACTGCACTAGACCCCTAACACTAATCCGTACTTCTTAGGCACAAAGTGTTCCAAATTTGCCTCGATTTCCGGCAAAGACCTCCTTGGTAAAAACACTGCGTTCTCGCCCAAGTCGACAAGAACCGTCTTCCCAAACCGGGTGCTAACTATTTTTATCCAACAAATCGGTATGGGCTGGTCCACAGGAAGATCCTGTAGATTAATTACTGGATTCCTGAGGATGGAGGAAACCTCATTAATTTGACTTAGATTCATACTACAACAATAGAAAAACCAAGTGTAAAAGAGCGAAAAAATAAATAAATAAATAAATAAAGGATGTGTTTAGTAAATAATTGACTATTTCAAAAACAAATAACTTACTTGTATTTTGTAGAGGGACACTAGAGATAATAACTTGAACAAGCTGTTGCTGTAGACGGTATAAGGACACAAACGCACATAAACTAGTGAAGAACTAGCTGGAGACTAATTGCTTTTGCAAGCTATCGATGTAGACTGGTAAATGAAAACTTTATTTCATATATATATATATATATATCATCAGTTTGACCGTGACTCTTATTACATCCGGCCGACGTTCGTTATTCTTATCGCATGCTGTCTAGACGCTACGTGGCCACAATTTTTGCTAACACTACAATTATAAAGGAAATAATATATCAGGCTACAATTTATACTAAAAAGCAAGTCCGAACCTGTAGAAAACGTCTGAACCAGTAGAGAACAAGTCTTAAATCGAGGTGACCTTGACCCGAGGTGACCAGAGGTCTATGACCTTAACCCCCCAGACAACCTGAGGTCGATAACCTTGACTTGTCCTTGACGCGAGCTTGACCCCAGACGACCAGAGGTCGATGACCTTGAGGTGACCTTGACCCCAGACGACCAGGGATCATGACCTTGACGTGACCTTGGCTCTAGACGACCGGAGGTCGATTACCTTGACATAACCTCGGGGCGACCTTGACCCCAGACGACCAGAGATCGACGACTTTGACCCCAGACGACCAGAGGTCGATGACCTTGACACGATCTTGAAGTGACTTTGACCTGGACGACCTGAGGCCGATGACTTTGACCCCAGACGATCAGGGGTCATGACCTTGACGTAACCTCGGCCTCACACGACCGTAGGTCGATGACCTTGACACGACCTTGAGGCGAAATTGACCCCAGACGACCAGAGGTCGATGTCCTTGACATGACCTTGAAGTGACCTTGACCCCAGACGACCGGAGGTCGATGGCCTTGACCCCAGGCGGTCAGAGGTCGATGACCCTGACGTGACCTTGGTCTACAATGATGCAATACCGGATAAGAATGACGCAATGGTGTTTGGAGGTCATTGGCCTCGAATGATGCAATACCAGATAAGAATGACGCAATGCTGTTTGGAGGTCATTGGCCTCGAATGATGCAATACCAGATAAGAATGACGCAATGCTGTTAAAGGAAATAATATATCAGGTTAAAGTTTATGCTAGCGTGGCAGTATTAAAGGAAATAATATATCAGGTTACAGTTTATG